GGCGGCAGAGCTTCGTTCCTTTCCCTGGTCAAATGCTGTTCCCTTGTGTGGATGGACCGCACTGTGTGTATCCGTTCGTCTGCTGACGGACACGTGGGCTATGTTCATCTTCTGTCTGCTGTGAATCGTGCTGTCAACACACGTGTATGGGTGTGTGTGCCGGCGTATGTTTTCATTTCTGGTGACTTCCTTCGTGGGTTAATTCAGCGTGTCTGCTAGCATGCCATTCCAAAAGGTTTTGACCTGAAGCAGACCCACAGGTGAGGCCCAGCGACTGGCCTGTGTCTTTGGGGGTGTCAGGACAGGAGACCAGGTTAGCTGTCCCCATAGTGAGCCCACACCTGCCCCGAGGAGAGAGGAGTGGACCCCCGGGGTTCAGCATGCTCCATCCTCCACGCCTGTGACCCACACATGGGGCCACACCCTGAGCTGGCCCGAGACCCCCAGCATCACCCAGCAGAGGCTCACAGGGAAAAAGCCACAGCCCTGGGTGTGCTCGTGGCCACAGACGATTCTGCTGAATGTTTTACGTTTGAGCGTCGGCACAATGGAAAACTGTGTCACCGTATCCTTCCCACATGCTTACGTTACTGATTCCCGCCCGAGGGTCCTCAGCTCCTGCTCTCCGAATGCCTGACCCTCCCTGCACCTCAGGGAGTGCACTTTTAGTGGGTCAGGAGGAAAGAACCGACAGACGGGCAGTCACAGTGTTGGTGAGGATGTGGGGCAATGAGACCCTCGTGCACTGCTGGTGGGAATGAAATGGTGCAGCCACTGTGGAGCGTTAGCCGTGGAGTCACCGTATGACCCGGCAGCCCCACTCCTGAGCACAGACCAGGAGGAGCGAGAACACGCCCCACGAGAGAGCCTGAACGCGCGTGTGATGGTGGCACTGTTCACCTCAGCCAGAAGGTGGACACGGCTTGTGTGTCTGTGACGGCTGGACACAGTGTGGTCCATCCGCCCAGGGCAGCGTCGCTCAGCCATGCAGAGATGTGAAGCTCTGCTCCGCCTGCGACATGGATGAACCTTGAAGGCACCGAGCTTGGTGAGAAGCCAGCAGGGAGCAGGTGTGGAAGTCCAGGCGCGTCGTCAAGCTGCCGCCACCGTGGGAGGAGCCCGTCCTGCGTGACCTCGGCCCACTGGCCTGGAGGAAGGGGCGCCCCCCTGCCAGCTCTGAGCAGCCCCCGAGGGAGGGTGGCCCCTGAGGGAGGGTGGCTGGTGTCGTAGGGAGGAGGAGCTTCCAGGAGCCGCAGGGGCGGCCGGGGTCTGACGGGGCTCCCTGATCCAGTGTCCTCGTCCGAGGAATGCCGTGGCAGACACCATCCAGTCAGACCTCGCAGGGACTCCCGGCTCCACTGTCAGGGCATTCAGGGGACCCAGAATTGTGCCACCATCACCTCTGTCTCCTTCCGGAACATTCCATCACTCTGAAAGGAAACCCGGACTTATTATCAGTCAGTCACTCGCCCGTCCCTTTCCCCCAGCCTCGGGCAAACACTTATCTACTTTTTGTCTGTGGTTTGCCTGTTCTGGGCGTTTTACGTGAATGGAATCATAAGGTATATAACTGAGTGGCTTCGTTCTGAAATGCTTACCCTGAACTGTTTTAGCACGACATTTGTAATTCCAGAGTTTTCTCCCTCTTTCAGGCAAAATATATCTCGCAGTGCATTGATGAAATCAAGCAGGAACTGAAGCAAGACAACATCGCAGTCAAAGCCAACGCCGTCTGTAAGCTGACGTATGTAAGTACCACGCTGCACCTGCCCGGCCGTGCTCCCACGGGTGCAGGCACTGGTCTCGGGGCCGCAGGGCCTCGGAGTCGTGGGGCAGCAGAGTCTATCACGGGGCCAGGCGGGTGGTGGTGCACGCGGCCTGGGAGCAGGAGCCCCCTGCCACCCCCACGTCCCGGCTCCCCCTGCAGGCCCGAGCCTGGTGGCCGGAGCGTGGCCTGGGAGCTCTCCCATCCTGGGTGGGCAGTGAGCGTGGCCAGGCACCGGCCCCTCCGGCCTGTTTCCTCGTCAGATGGGAGAGACAGGAGGGGTCCGTCTGGATGCTCCATACGAGCTGGGGCACCGTGGCTGGCTGGGGGTTGTGGCCGGTCCCAGCAGATGCGGTGTCGCCGTTTAGAAGCTTGCTCTCTTGTAGTGCGGGTTAGTCATCTGTCCCCACAGCGTTTACCTGTGAGGAGTGCTTGGTCAGCTTTGGCGACAGAACTGAAACACCCCGCGGTGTGTGGGGGGTCGGTTGTGAACAGAGGTTGTGCTCCTGTGTGCCGGGAGGGGGGTCTCAGCTCCGTCTCAGCTCCATGTGTGAGTTAACAGTGCTGTGCCCCCTCCCCACCCAGTTACAGATGCTGGGATATGACATCAGCTGGGCCGCCTTCAACATCATCGAAGTGATGAGCGCCTCCAAGTTCACGTTCAAGGTGAGCTCACGGTCCAGGAGCGTGTCGACGTGTTTGGGCCCTGAACCGAAGGCTTTGCGGGTGTGCCTTGTGAGGGCACAGGGACGCAGCGGTGGTGACAGCTGAGGCCCGGGGCGGGATGGGGGAGGAGGTCCCTCCGTCAGGTCATAAAGTGGCTCCTGGCTGCCAGCAGGTGAGGGAAAAGGCGGAATGTTAGTGACAGGACTTGAGAACAAAATCAAGTCTCAGGCATTAGGAGAACATTGAAAACCTACACCGTGTGGGCACTTCCCCTTCTGGAGTTTAAGGGCCTCTGGCTGGGTTCCTAAAAGGCTCCCGCTGCCCGGCCCCTCGTGGCCCTGGTGCAGGGTTTTGCTGTGGGGGCCAGAAGAGGTGGCTGCTGGGAGCCGCGGAAGCTTCCAGAGCAGGGCTGGGTGTCTCCTGGAAGGCTGAGTGCAACCCCGTCTCCGTCTCATGCCTTTGTCCCCCGCCCAGTGGATCGGGTATCTGGCCGCCTTGCAGTGCTTCCACGAGGGCACGGACGTCATCATGCTGACCACCAACCAGATCTGCAAGGTGAGCCCACACCCCGCAGAGGCCCAGCATCTGTTTGTTCTCCTCGCTGTTTTCCTGCCACTCCCCTGCGACGTAGAGCCCTTGGCCCCAAGGCCAGCAGGCACACACACCGCGGCCCCTCAGCGAGCAGATGCGTCTTCTGTGAGGCAGTGCTTTTCTCAGGAGAACCGGGCGCTCCCCTGGCTGTCTGCAGTCTGCCGGCATCTTAAATGAGCCCGAGACTTCGGAAACCTGCTCTGCGGGGCCTGGCGGGGACTGGGCTGTCCCTGACCCCCTGGGAGCTGCTGGGACTCCTTACTGCTCAGCGATCATCTAGGTGTTCTTGCTACAAACTTGCATTTCCCAGAAGTTCCGTGGCAGCGTCTGAGGGCACATCCGCTCCCCTTGGCCCCAGGTCAGTTCAGCCACCTGGGGACCGAGTTCTGCGCTGTGGGTCCTGATGATAGTTTACGTCTTCATCCTGGGAGCGGGGAGGCTTTGAAAGCCTGTGTTTTAATATTTACCACAACAGTCCAGAAGGCAGACTCTCGTGTGCGCCTCTGGGGGTGTTTTCCCTCCTGTTCTTAGAAGGTGTAGGGAGGGTCCCGGAGAAAGCCTCTCCCCAGAGCTGGGTGGTGACACAACGAGACGCATTGTCCCGAGCGCAGAGGTTCCCGAGTTTTCGTTAGAAGTGTAGGATTAGGACCGAGAGGTCGGTGACCCCGGGAAGGCGTTGGGCAGCTGTTAGAGCCTCCTCTCGTCCCAGGCGCCGAGTTCCCTCCTTACTGCAGTGGTGACTGCGCCCTCTAGGCCGGCACGTCTCTGGGTCCCTGGGAAGGATCTAGCGGGGTTAGCCTGCTTGCTTTAGAGGGTCGTCACGAGGGCCATCGAGTCGATTCCAACTCATGGCGACCCGACGTGACAGGGTCGAGCTGCCCCGTAGGGTTTCCTAGGCTGTAATTTATGGGAGCAGACTGCTAGGTCTTTCTCCCTCGGAGCCCCTGGGGGGTTTGTATCACGGACCTTTCAGTCAGCAGCTCAGTGCTTAACTGTCGCGCCACCAGGGCTCCTCGCTGTGGGGAAGAGCCCCCACACGCTGGCAGGTTCCCAGGATGGGACCCCGTGGGGCTGTCCCACGCTGTG